CTTTGTTAATCTTGGTTACGATAAATCAAAATTCTTATGGCAAGAAATGTATCACAATGATAAATGATTTGGATGAGAGCAAAGAAAGAATATCCATGTAGAGAAACTGGAATATCTTTGATATAACGCTGCTTAGGACATAACTCTCACTTATCCCTTCTTTGAAGAATGGCCATAGCAGCATCATGCTATAGGGCTGATCTTGTGTGACACAAAATAAACATCCAAAATAACAGAAGTGGGTAGGGCCCCTGGACGGAAATTCAATTAAATATTTCTAGTGGGAACTAAACATGGCCGGTCCCTCCTGTAAGAGGGCGTCATGCTTATGGACTACAAAAAAATCCAATAATATTCTAACCAAAGGTGCTTTAACATAAGGCATGGGTTTGGATAATTAAGAGTCATTAAATGTGTTTAATAAAATTACCCGTTTTGCTTTCATACTTTATTTGCAGTGAATAAGCAAACAAAATTGAACATGATTACAAGATGTAAATACTTTCTGGTTGAACTGTAGATCCGCTAAAGTCTAGGTGGATTTTTACCCACTGATTTGACATGAAATGCTGTCTATATTTGCAGCTGGCCCGAGGCTTTCCAGTGATTTGTTCTAGATAACTACTTGTTTACCGACACAGACCCAGGCACAGGGTGACCTTTATTTGGCATTACAAAGGAGGATGAGATTATTCACAGCCAGTGACGTCGACTGCAGATTCTGTCCGGTTATTATGTGTCTGTCCACAACCACGTGCACGGAGTCCTCTTGACTTGCTGGGAAGAGGAGATAAACGTTATACGGTTTGAGAAACAAATGATGGAGTGCTGGTTTTGGGTTTCTGCAGCGCAGGCGCTCACCTGTATATGATCCACCGCTGTCTTTCACAAAATCTTCCACAATAAGGGGAAGGTTGGCAAAGTCGGGCTGACGAACCAGTTCAAACACAGACGGCTTTGGGGGAGGCATTGATTATTAGGTAAGTTGTACACGTGTCACCAGTGGGAGTAAATATTCCCTGAGAGAGAGAGAGAACACTAACCCCTGTTAAGCTGTAACCACTGAAAATCCACTTCTGGCCCTCGGTGGCACAGCACAGAGCTGACACTCCCTGTCCAATAGCACACACAGGCTCTGTACAAGTGATAGAAAACAAAAATGAGGCAAGGGCAAAAACGTTTAAAAAAAGTAAAGTCTGGAACTCACTTTGCTGGGAGATTAACTGTGTGAGGATTCGGTGCATGGAGCCGCTGTGTGCCAGGTCGTTTGGCGCTCCAGGGCAGTCTGGGATGAGCAGTGCCTGGTATCTGGCACCTTGGAAAAGATCATCAGTACATAACTAAGCAGACGAAAGTAGCTGATTGGTTGTTAAAGGAACTCTTCTCACCATCTATAGATTCCAGTTTGGCTGGTGTGGCGTAGGATTTTATGTTAAAATCCTGAACCCATCTGGCTGTGCTTTCGTCAACTCCCACAAAGTCTATCGCCTTCCCCTTTCATTCAAGAACACATGCAGAGGAAAAATAAATATTATGCCGTACTGACGTCACACTGAGGCAAATGTAGGATCATCAGCATGAGGTTAAAGGTCAGCCTTCCAAACATGGTAAACATTTTAAATCCAGAAAGAGGATAAGTCTAAGAACTGTCTCTGATCAGCAGGTCAAGAACTGAAAAATCAGATAATCTTTTTGCTTAATTAATGAATCCAAAAGTAAAGAGGCAATATTTGGTCGATAAACACATCAACAGGGTGCCAGTTTGTTCTCCGCTTACTTAAAAATCTAACTAAAGTAGGGGACATACCACTTGGTGCATTGATAGGGATTAACTTTCTTCAGGATTCAAACCTACTTTCTCTGTTAAGGAGCCTTTAAACTAGACATGCACTGATAAGTAACAGGCCAGTAATGCTATCCCCTTCTGACCTACCAGTTCCAGTACTTTTTATTTTTTCTAAAAAAAAATGTGCTGTGGATGTTCTGATAAAGAAGAAAAAATATACGATTTTTCCAATTTTTTTCATTAAAGCGTATATATTTAACAGTTTCCTAATATTAGCTTAAAATGAAGCTTTGAGTGTATTAGCTAGAGTAGCTTGGACTATCTTGCAATATTTCTAATTCAGTAACTATCATCTTAGGCTTGCTTAGTCAGCTTTGTCTTTTTTTTCCTGCAACCCTCCAGCTACAATTAATTAGCCATTATTTATTTAATTAACTATATCATCACTCTCTGGATGTTCCGTTACATCAAGCACATCCTATCCGACATCTTCCTGGAGGAGCCACCAATTTAGCTTTTATACATATACACACATATACATATATATATATATATATATGTATAT